GGGAGGGGGGGAGGGGAGGTGGGCCAGGGGAGGGAGGAGGGGGAGGGGCGGCAGCTTGTCCTGAAAACGCCGTTTCCATCCTCGATTTGGGGAGGGGGCACCACCAACCCCCCCCCCCCAAAAAAAAACCCCAACCCAGTCCCCCACCCCCAGTTTGGGTCCGGACACCCCCTGGGGGCGGGGAGGGGCGAAATCCAAAGGAATCGCCCCAAAATTGGGGAGGGCGGTGGGGTCCCACATCACCTCTGGGGGTAACAGCTGGGCTTGGGGGGCGAACCCCAAATTTTGGGGTGGTTTTGGGGTTTGCGGAGCCGAGCTCGGCCACGAGGGAGAGGACGGGAACAAATTGTCCGAAATGCCGAGAATTCGACCCAAAAGGAGGCGTTTGGGAGGCTCCATCCGGCCCCCCCAACCCTCATCGGGTGTTTTTGGGGGGGTGGGGTTGGTATCAAATCACCCCAAATCCCCCCCAAAAAAAATCACCCCAAGAACTGGGATTTCACAAAAGCCTCCAGGGTAAAAACGAGCCCAGCCAGGGCTGGATTTTGGGGTGAAATCGGCTGCTTTGGGGAGCAGGGAGCTGCGGCTGTGCCCTGCATGGTGAGGCATAAAAAAATCCAGGTGGTTTTCCTCAGATTTGGGGGAAATTGCCCCAAATCTCTAAAATTCATCCCAAAATGGGGGAGTGGGAGCCCACATCATCCCCTTGGGGAAAATCGGCAACTCCTGAGCCTGGATCGACTTTTTTGGGTGGAAATCAGGCAGTTTTAATATCGGGAAGCTGAGGGGGATTGCCCAAAATCCAAAAATTTCGCTAATTCACACAAAAAAAACGGGTTTGGGGGTGCGGGGGGAGGGGATGTGGGACCCCCACATTGTCCCCATCGAGGAAACCACATCCTCAAAATTAATTATTTTGGGGAAAACCGGCTCTTTTTGGCATCGGGGAGCTGATGCTCCACCACGAGACAGTGGATGGGTAAAAAATTGCCCCAAATCCCTCAAATTCATCCCAAAACAGCAGGAGCGGAACCCTCTTGAGAAAAAATATCACCGTGCTGACCGCAGAGAAAGTTGATTTTTTTTTTGGGGGGGGGGGGGTGAAACCAGCTCGTTTTGGCACGAGAGAGCCACGAGCCGCGGGATGGGTGAAAATCACCCAAAATCCCTCAAGCTCACCCCAAAAACTGGCCCGAGGTGCCACCTGACCCCCGGCGAGCAACACGCGCCCTCTCGGGAAGGATTTTTGGGTGGGATGGGGAGGAAGAGGAGCAGGGGTGGGGTGGGAGGAGAGGGGGGGGTTGAACCAGCTCTCGTTTCTTTTTGGCATGAGGAGGGAGCCGAAGCTCGGCCTGCAAGATGACGGATGGGTGAAAATTTGCCCAAAATCCCCCGGATCGGCCCCAAAAGGTTGGGAGCGGGGCCACGGCGAAGCCAAGGAGTAACAATAGAGTGATAACTACCAGGTAATGCAGTTTGTTTACCATAGCGTGTCCGATCCCTGCGTGCTGGCGGCGAGAGAAGGACAAAACACAAACGTGACGTTTGGGGGGGCGCTTGGGGCGGGGGGCGCGGGGCTTTTGGGGGGGGGGGGG